TAATTTGTTTTCTACTGTGGCGCTTTCTATCCACTGGCGCGTAGGTCGTGTTTGTTTTGAAAGTGAAAGCCAAAAGCGGACCGCGCACCAAAACACAAGTATTTCAAAACACCTTTCATTTCAAGGCTCGAACTGAAGAAAGCTTTATTCTGCTTGTGTGAATAAAGAAAAACTGATACAGATAAGTTGGCTCTTATATCTGACTGTCCATTTCTCATGAGTGTTTTCTATGTTCCTTCCAATGAAATGATATCTCAATGAAACCCAGAGCAATGAAAGGACAGTTAGAAATTTTTCTGAGACTGTTAAAGGTACACGCTCTATGCGGTCATGGGTATTCATAAACTAAACATCCTTGGGTGGAGACTTCCAAATAGAGTGACAATTTCTTCCAGATCAACAGGTAAATCGTATTTGATATGCATTAGAGCAAGGGAGGAGAGCCTACTCTTACCCATGGTACACACTGTTACAATTCAACGTGCACCAACTCAATAGTTTATGTATATATAGTTTTGAACTTTGACAGTGTACCCAGTCTTCTTAGCAATGCTTATTAAGAATCTAAGCTACGACTGTAGGCTTTTTGGTTTTGCCGTGACAGTTGGGGGCCACCGTAATGAGATCCAGCCCGGGCTGCGACACTTGACTCCATCCCCCGCCCCCTGCTACAATCCCACAATGCAGCTGATTCTTAAATCTTGGGGGTATCCATGTTGTCTTTGCCATGCTTAAAGCTAAGGACAAAAAGAATTTTTGTTGGCTTTTTATTTGTTTTTTCCTAGGTAAGACTGAATTTGGTATGTATAACGATTTAATTCAGAGAACAAACGATTCTATTTGAATAATTCATGAGGCATTAGTTACGAAGTTTCGAGTATACATGCGTAAGACCTTTTTAACTCATCGCTGGTGGATGCAGAGCTTACATCCTTACGCGCAAGGAACCATTCCATACCCGTTCTTGTCATTTCCTATCCCGTTCCTAATTCTTTTATCCGCTCATAATTCATTCAATGTCATCACACCTCCTTGACATCCATGCACTGTTTAAAATCCTGGCTCATTTCTTCCAGACTGATTACATGGAAGGTCTAGTGTAAACGGAATTTCCTATTTGCTTATGATTTTTTCAGTCCATCAATGCTCTGCTTCCATCAAGAAGTGGCTTCCAAATACTAATTTCAACAACCCAGCTAACTGGGATAAAAGGAGAGTACCAAGTGATGGAGAAGATGTAAAGCTAGACAAGGTGCTAAATGTTTTAGTGAACTCCATGTACTTATCCAGCTAAAATTTTCATTTTAAACCCCTTTTTCATAAGAACCTATTTAGCCTAAAATTTTCAATAGTTTCATGTTTTACGAAAATGAAGGCACAGATGAAAATACAAAAAAAAAAGTTTAGTTTAGGTTCCAGTCAGTAAGATTCAAAGAATCAAGAATGTAACACAGCATTTTATGGACACTGCAGAACCCATTTAAGAACATAAGTAGCCTAAAATCCCACTAAATACCATTTCTGTAAGAACCTCTCTAGGCTAAATTGCAAAAATCTAGGTTCTTATACGTGGGTTTTTACTGTATTCAACTTTTTTCAATTTTTCTACTTTATTTCCACTTCAAGTCTTATTTACTTTACAAGTTAGGTGAAATTAGGGGAAATAGGAATAGGCATTATCTTCTAGAACTGAAAAAATAGTTGTTTTTAAATGTGATATTTATTTTGGTCTTTCCAATATTGATGTCCTCTTGACTTGCTACTGTTTTTGAATACTTTTATCAAAGGGGAACAAGCCACTGGCAGTATCATTAAGAAGAAGTCACTTTCTAAAATCTCTGGTGAGCAATATTTGTGGATCATAAATCAATAAAATTAATTTTTTGGTCAATATGTTATATGGAGGCTGTCGTTTAATTATATAGGATATACCTGTAGGTGCCTGTATTGTAGATCAAACTTAAATACGGCTTAAAATTTTTTAAGTAGGCTTATTCTCACTTCTTTTTTAATTCTTTCCTATATAGCCTTAAGGTATTCCTGGAGGCTATTTTGTGAAATTTCCCCTATATCTGCCCGCATCAAATCTAATGTAATAATCTCTCAGAATTCATCAAACTTTCACATGTAAAACTTTATTCCATGCAACTTCTTCAAAAATTATGCTCAGCCTAGAAGAATGACAGGAAATTCATGAAATTTGATATTTTGATAGGCATGATCAAAACCATAAATTTTACTAGTTTGAAAATACACTCCAGAGAATTTATTCCACTTCCAACAGCTTTTGGCAACTGATAGATACAGTTAAAAGCAACAATCGTACAGGAGTACGTCACAGGAGAAGCAATTGGAAAAAAAAAATGTCCCTTAGTAGAAGTTTGCATTTCTATAAAATATCTGAGATCACTGCGACACGCATTTTCAAAGGCTTTTGACGTACTCCCATAAAAATCTTCTGTAACCTTTGCAGTTTGTGTCTGCCAAGTTTCAAGTGATTACGATAAACATGAATATTTAGGAGACAAAGGAAATTGAGAATCAAACCTAAAGTTAAAAAACTTAAACCTGAATAAAAACTCAATTTTGACCTGATAACTTAAAATTATTATGTAACTATACACCAGGAAGATGAGAGATCAACTCACTGAGCAACTTAACTTCAGTTTAAGAAACAATTTGATGGTAATTCAGGCTTAAAGATCCTAATTAACCCCATCCAAAGCCTAAATTCCAGGGCCCAGTTGTTTGAATGCTGGTTACCGCTAACCGAGGCTTAGATTTTAACCCGGGCTTCTTTTTCTTTTCATCAAAGGTACTCTCTCGGATTATTTTCTATATTTTTTTAGAGTATCCAGTCATCAGATTGTAGGCAAAGAGAATTAAACTGAAATTGTTTTTTAAGCTCTCAAATCTGAGTTCAAATTTCGTACTGACCCTGGGTTATCTTAACCCACCTTTAAACAACCCGGCCCAGGTTTAAGTGTAATCTGGGCCAGGTTGTTTGAAGCCAGGTTAAGATAACCCAGGATTAGTGTGAAATTTGAACTCAGATATTACAGCTTAAAAAGCAAATTCAGTTTAATTCTCTCTGCCTACATTTTGATGACTGGCATAGATACTCTAGAAAGAGTAGAGAAAATTATGCGAGAGAGTGCTCTTGATAAAAAGAAAAAGAAAGCGTGGTTAAATTTAACCCCGGGTTAGCGCTAACCAGCGTTCGAACAACTGGGCCCTGATGTGTTAACCACTATACCACTTTGCTTTGGATCACATGATCAATCTCTCTGTCAAGAAGGGATAGTGTAGAAACAAACAATAAAAAGAAGACTATTTTTGTTATTACTGTACTGTTTCTATATATTACCTCATGATTGTTGCAATTTGTTTCAGAGTTTGCCCATCAATGGAGAAGTAATATTTTATGATGGTGCTGAAATACAATTTTGTGCCAGTGAAACAAATTCCTGTAGTGGTGGGTGTGGATTATAGTTTTTGACGAATAGGTCATCAGGGTTGTCAATGTGTGGAAAGTATCTGAAGGCTGGCTGAAATACTTAGTAGCTGATTTTGCTATTATCCTTTAACCATAACAACAATAAGCTTTATTTGCATGACCATAACAAAGTATTACAGTATTGCAAAAGCTACTTGAAATTAATCATGGATTCCATGTAAATTAAATATTCAAAATAATTTGAAACTTATTAATCATTGTTTATTTCTAACCATCAGTAGGATTAATTATATATTTCCGGAGATAAGTTTGTCTCTCAGTTCAAAGCAAGTTGATGTAAATGAAATTAATTGAATGTAATAAAATAGTCAGTAGAAATCATCAGATGTGATAATAAGGACTCATGTGATTGTAGTCGTAGAAACAGTATTTTAGGTTCTAGTTTAGAGAAGACCATATGTCTTATCGAAGAAAAACTTGGACAATCTAATAAAAAGTAAGTTTCATCTTCAATTCTGTTACAATTGCAGAGAATATTGCATAACCTTTCGTCACATGGTATATTGTCGTATCTACCTGTCTCAATCCTAAGAATCAGAGGAATACTAGACCAGGAGCCCTGAATTTGTACTGCTGGCAAAAAAAATGACTGAGTTAAAGATATTGGCTGCTGATGACAGTTTTCACATGGGTCCCCAGTTTCTTTTACTGCAGTTATTAATATAGGAAATACACCAATCTGAAATTTGTTTTATTTCTTAAGTATCTGAATTCACGAAGGACACATTAGAATTGTTTGTTTGGTTGTTTTTTTTTTGTTCAAGACTCAGGAGATATTCATTTTCTGGCCTCTGTTCAAGATTGGTACAATCCTTACAACTGGCAGGATATTGCATCATTAGCTTCTAGCATCATCCTTCACACAGATAACGTGCCTTGTGTTCATGACACTGCTGTCTTTCCACAGGTAATTATAATTAAAGCACTAAGCCATCTCACTTTGTCCATTCAATGTGTGAATTTTGGATATCCATACCACAGTTTTCTTGGAAGCATAATTTGTACAGTATGGAAAAAGGCAACTCTCCCTTTGTTTTACTAGCAAATGTGCATTGCACGGTGAATGAAAAATTAAACATGTTGACCTAACGTCACTTTTTGTGAGGCTGAATCGCCATTTAATTTAACCTGAAGATTTGAAAATTATCATGTTGATATTTTTCTAATCAAAGTACATCCAGTACAATTGCATGCATGCTATATCCAATCCCTCACTTTTATTTAAAGCCCCTCATCCCCCAATGTTTATCCATCAATCAAATTAGCTTAAAATGAATTAATCGTTGCCGCTAACAAGGTGAATGTATGAGATTGACAGTAGGTTGAATTGATGCAACAACAACACGGTGCCAGTCATCCAGACCCTTAGAAAAGGGGGCCCGGGTCTCCGAAAAAACTTTTTTCGGTCCTGGTTTAAAAATAAGCGGGGAGGGGGGCAGCGTCCCCCAGGCCCCTCCCCTGAATCCGCCACTGCAACAACAAGTTTATTCTGATCAGTATTACCATTTCTATACATGGTGTTACCGACTGAAATACAAATAATTAACAGATAGAGTTAAAGAAATACAAATAATGGTATAATTAAGTATTATTAAGTTTCTTTCATCTTTCAAATGCTTGAAAAACGAAATTAGCAGTTAGCGTGTTGATAGTAAGTGAATCAGTATTGTGATGAAAAGAAAACAGACTTTATCGTGGTTATTGTAATTTGTTTTAAAATAATAAAAATAATGTATTTCATGCTATTGGTAATATGTTTTTATAAGATCCTTTTCTCCCCTCAGAAATTTCCAATGACTCTCATCTATGGGTTGGGTATGGATGTTATTTAAGTCCTTTAGGCTACTGGTTCATTCATGAACTGTGTCTCATTTTGTTCTTCAACAGGGCAGTTCATTTCTAGTCAGTTCCAGTATTCCTGTCAAAGTTGCTGCTGTTGAATTGTTTGGTCAGGTACACTCTCATTGCTTTATCAGATGAGTTTGAGACATTAATGTGGCATCAGGTGTAGTGTTTTGAGCAAAATAGGGTATTAACCTGTAAATCCATAAGTCCCCTAGTTTTCAGGTTAAGCCTGTGCCAGGCTCTCAGTTTGTAGGGATGAGCAAAAAGAAAAAGCAAAAGTGGGGCTGTGGTCTAGGTTTTTCCCACCAGGTATTTTCGTAATTTTTCGATTCATGCTTGCTTGCTTGGGCCTAGGCATGTCATATTCTAACTAATTTTCATTCTACAAAAAAAAGCTGGGAGGGCTCCGTGGGCAAGGAAAATTTGAGAACTTGTGTTTTTTTTTTAAAATCCTGCTGTTGAAATCCAACTTTGATGTATTCGTGGCAAATTTTCTCTACATTGGTTATGCTCCAGTTAGATATTTGATTTGGCATCACATACAAACATTTTTAACTTAAAAGTTTTTACAGTCATGTCCTGCATTAACACTGATGGTGCACAAGATACTGGATATTGGATTACAGTCACCGGAGACAACTTCCCAAAACTTTCGGTTGCCTTATATTTTCTGCAAAGTTGACCTGTATATAGTGGTTACCCTGTGTATAACGGTCACCTTGCCATTTCCCAAGGGTGACCATTGTACACAGGTTTGTACTGTACTTATTTCCCATTAACACATTTGTCAATTAACACTAAATATTTATTGGTAGAGGCAAAGCTCGAAGAGTTTCAAGGATTTTTATTCCGGTGAATCAGGAAGGTTACAGTTTAACTTGAGTGAGTCAGCTGATATCACAGCTGTGGAATGTATTGATTCCACAGGCTGCCCATGTGGAACCTGGAAGGTAATGTCAGGCACTCTGCAGCTCACTTTATGCTTATCCCCTGTAAGGAGAGGAACATCGACAGGACTATTGATAGCGACAGAAATCAAGCTTACAATCATGGACAAAAGTCCTAATGGGATAGTAATGCAGTATTCATATTGTTCTGTAATTTCTTGGTTCCCTCGTAAAACAGTGCATCCTTTTCGAAATTTTCTTGCAGTTCTTCCTCCCCCTATACAAAGTTAAAACTCGAAAAAAATTTTTGGTGCTCGCATCCAACGTTGTTTGTGGGGTAAGGGGAGGGGCTGGACCTGTGTGAAGTGGAAAATGCCCCAGAAATGCAAAAGTGTCTCAAGACTTTTACCAATGATTGTAGTAAAGATTGCAGACTAAAAGTGAGAACCAGTGCAGCATGCTGGGCAAAACATTACGAATCATTTCTTGAGAAATTAGATTCCCTCGGCCTAGAATATTATCTGCTAGGTGATTTAAACTGTAACCTGGCCTCTGCACAATATGATTTAAATACTCGACGCTTATGTGAAATTTCTGATTTATTTGGGCTTCAACAGCTTATAACTGAACCTACTCGCATAACGGAATCCTCTTCAACATTAATTGATTTAATTTATACAAACTATACTGACAGGGTAGTCTGTTCCGGAGTCTCTCATATTGGTATCAGCGATCATAGCCTTATTTACGTTTATAGGAAATTATCTCTCACTTTTCCTTCAAAAGGGCACTCAACCATTTCTTATAGAAATTTCCAAAATTTTAATAGAGAGAGTTTTCGTAACGATATCGCTCAGCAAGACTGGTCCTGTAATGTTTCTGAAGATCCAAATGTTTTGTGGTCTGACTGGAAAACGAAGTTTTTGGATATTGTTAATATTCATGCGCCACTCCGAACTAGACGTACTAGAACAAATAAAGCACCCTGGATCAATTCAGAATTAAAGAAAGGCATGCGTGATCGTGATGCTGCCAAAAGAAAAGCAATTACATCGAATGATCCACACGATTGGAAAAGGTACAAAGAGTTGCGAAATATAATAAACAATGACATCAAAATTTCTAAAGCATCTTATTATTCTAATGCATTTATTCAATCTAAGGGTAATCCTCGAAAAACGTGGCAAACCTTTAATGAGCTTACATCCCGTCGTGTGAATAATACAACGGTGAAAGAACTGAAATTGAATGATACCAGTATCTCTAATTCTAGTGAGCTTTCTGATGCTTTTAATGACCATTTTTCAACAATTGGGCCCAGACTTGCTAATGAAATACCTCTAACTGCTGAAAATAATTCAAGTTATATCAATAATATAAAGGTAAATAACAACAATTTCAGCTTCTCCTCGACTAACTGCAGCATTGTTTTCTCACATCTAAACAAATTATGTAGATCTAAAGCAACTGGTCTTGATAATATTTCTGCTAAAATTGTACGTGAATGTGCTGATCTTATTTCAGTTTCACTATGTGATCTCTTTAATAAATCTTTAGTCTCTGGTATATTTCCTGATGATTGAAATGTGCTAGAGTTACTCCGTTGTTCAAGGAAGGTGAGCCATCTGATCTGAATAATTATCGACCTATTTCAGTCATTTCCGTTATAGCTAAAGTGTTTGAAAGGATTGTTTATGATCAGTTGTATAACTTTTTGACCAATGAAGATATCATTTCTAATCATCAATCGGGTTTTCGCTCGTTACACTCAACTGCAACTGCCCTTCTGGAAGCTACGGATAATTGGGCCTTTAATATTGATCGTGGCAATGTTAATGCTGTGGTTTTCCTCGATTTAAAAAGGCTTTTCGACACCGTTGACCACGATATCCTTCTAGCTAAAATGAACCTTTACGGAATACAAGGTACAGCTCTTGATTGGTTTAGGTCGTATTTAACTAATCGTACACAACGATGTCTTGTTAACGGTTCTCTTTCTAGAATCTGCTCTCTTAAATGTGGGGTACCGCAAGGAACAATCCTTGGCCCCCTTTTATTTCTTATTTATATTAATGACTTGCCTAACTGCCTTACTTCGTGCCAGCCTAGAATGTATGCCGATGACACCCACATTACTTATGCTGGCGTTGATGTGAATTCAATACAGTTAACTCTGAGTCACGATTTAGATAACCTAAACAAATGGCTTATTTCCAATAAACTTACTTTGAACACTTCTAAAACTGAATTTATGCTAATTGGCTCCAGACAAAAATTGAGTACTTTGTCGAACCCACTTGAGCTCTCGATTAATAATGTTCCGATAGAACACGTTTCCTCTGTCAAATCGCTTGGAATATTTATTGATGAAAATCTACGGTGGCAAACACACATTGATAAATTATCTAAAAAGGTCGCTTCCGGAATTGGAGCAATAAAAAGAATTAGACCTTTTGTCCCTCCACCTACCCTTCACTATATATACAACTCACTAATTCAATCTCATTTCGATTATTGCAATCTTGTCTGGGGTAATTGTGGTAAAACATTATTTGACAGGCTACAGAAGCTTCAGAACCGTGCCGCTCGCGTTTTAACCTTCTCTAGCTATGATGCTGATGCTAACCGTTTGATTAGACAACTCGATTGGAAAGACTTGAGCACTCAATTTCAAATACAGAAATCCATAATGGTATACAAGTCTTTAAATGGCCTTGTTCCTGAATATTTATCATCTAAGTTTGTTAAACGAAATGAAACGCGTTACTCCCTGAGGGACTCTGTTAACAAACTATTTGTCCCATTTCCGCGAACTAATTTCATGAAAAACAGCTTTACTTATAGCGGAGCAGTTCTCTGGAACAGCCTACCCTGTCATGTGAGAGAAGCCGAATCTCTTAGTCAATTTAAAAGATTAGTTAATGTTCATTTTTAATGTTATACACGGCATTCATGAAAAACAGGTTTTAGTTAGATTAGTTGTAGTCAGGTTTTGAATTTTGTTTAGGATAGTTAGGTTATTTTTAATTTTTTTAAATTCCTGATGGATTTTACCGTGTTTAAATAAAGATTGACTTGACTTGACTTTAACCTAGCCTCATGCGAGCATTAGCCATTCATTTTGAATGTCAAGAGAATGCATAAGCCCACTTCTCAGTTGCATCCCCTTTCACGTGACTTCGCTCAAAATCCTTAAAATAGAGAGCTGCTTTCCCATAAGCTAAACAGCATCATTAAAGGAATGTACTGCTTAGTAGCTTTTGATTTATTGGTGAACGGTTCACACCATCCATTTACAGACTCCAAAGGTTACTGGGAGAACCGATCGTTATTCTTGTACAGCACAAAAAAACAGTATTAACCCTGTAAGTCCCAGTAGTGACCAAGATCAATTTTCTCCCAACAATATCCATACATTGTCAACAGATAAGTTTTGAGAATTAATAAAATGATCACCTAAGTAAAAATGCCTTGATCTTTTAACAAATTCTCTTAACTCATTCTTTAAGGAAATTTATAGAGATCAGTTTGGAGAATTTGTATGTAGATACTGGGGCTTAAAGGGTTAAAAGTAAACAAGTACTGCTCAGTGGCTTATTGTTGCAAGTTTGGGGTTCATAGAAAGAATATGACTTTAAGTAATGACTCTGACAAATTAACTTTTTATAATAGTAATTATGATTATGTTATTTTCAGTTTGCGGAAAATATATGCAGCCATGTTAAGTGTAAGGACCCACGATGTGCAAAGCCTTTTAAACCTGAAGGAAGCTGCTGTGATATTTGTGGTAAGAACAATAGTTATTTTTTCTGTTTCTAACAGTTACGTTTACTTAAATACGGTTTACTACCGGTGAACATGTGTCACCTGCACCTCTAGCATCTGGACCTACCCTTTCATGATGAAGTCTTCCAAGATAGTTATAACTTTTTAGACTGCATTTGGATGAAATCATGGGGTGTGACCACTCATACAAATAAAACCTCTTTGGTAGTACATTCACATACTTCTAAAGTGTTATTTTGGAATGTATTGCTGATAAACTACCATTAAAGTAGATTTGCGTTTCATCATTATACAAAATGAAATTAAGATTTTTTTTCTTTTTACTTTGGTTATTTCCGGGAGTAACTTGAAATGGCGACAAAAGTAGACAAAAAAGTTAGATTTTCCAGTCAAAGTACTAGCGTATTAAACATGAGAAATTGCAGTGTTTTCGTGAATATCAAGACACAGAGAATATTTTGTACATATTTTGTAGTGATTGCCATATTCACATAATTACCGCACTTTTTACATTGATGTAGAAGTGCATTGTACTCTGATTGAAATAGGCCTTACTATTACTGCAGGTACTTTGCTAAAATTGAGTTTAAGGCAAGATTTCAACATGGCGTCTTACAGAGATCTGCTGATGAATGTCTCTCAGAAAGTAAGATACATCGATGTATTGTACGCACTTTTAACATGGTTGAGCATAAACGCCCGGGTGAACGTAGTCGTGAATAGGACTGTTGTCAATAGTTTCTGACGTTTCAACAACCTGTGCGGTAGTCATCTTCAGAGTCAAATTGAGTTGTATCATGTCAGTTGATGGTATTTGACTCTGGTTATTGACCTGATTGGTAAATTAAGTCACGATGTTATTGGTTGCGTGTCAGATAAGCTCAGTTAAGCTGTGATGTTATTGACTATGAAGAATCGAAATGTCGTTGGTGCTCTCCTATAGTTTATGTTCAGTCTGGTCATTTGTCAGGTCATCTTCCTTTTTTGCTCTGTCGTCATTTGGCACCCATACGTTATTTGATATTCAATATTTAAGGGCTAATAAGGTCTGATGTAGTGATTTATCTTGTACTTTACAGGGATATGAGGGCGTTACTATTGCTACTTCTAAAACAGAAGCTAGATTTGTGCAGGTGGTCTTAACAGATCAGGAAAATGGTATGAAACTTGGTCTTATGGTTCATGATACGATGTTTCCCGCCTTTGTGTCTTTACAGATGATATTCTTACTGAGCAGGAATATGTGAAGTTTATGTACCGTAAATAATGTATCCTCGCTGCTGACCTTTGCTTCAGGGTTTGTTAAATGGTGACCGACTGTTTTTCGCTTTCTCGTCGATTCGCTAACTCGTTTACTTTCGTTAACGAAACGAAACGGGCGCTATACAATGCATATACCTCATTATATTCTTTCAGCCGCGCCACGATCAAGTCCCATACACGTATTTATACCCCGTTCTTTAAACCACTGATAAGACGAAAGAAGTTAGGGAACTGACCTAACCTTTTGCGAAAAGACTTAGGACGTTAGCAAACCGCCAAGAAGTTGGGGAAAAGGCCGTAAATGGCATGAATACTTTAAATATGATAATTGTGGTGCTTGTCTGGCACAGTCAAACCTCCTTGAGATATCTGGCAGGCCTCTGTATACTATTTAGATTGGTGATGTGCTGCTATGATTGATTACATTTTGGAAGCCTGTTTGAAGCGGTTTTTTAACACCATCCTAAACTGCTATACTTCTCCTATCTCAGTTTCAAAAGCCACTTCTAAACTTTTTTTCTGATAACTTTGTTTTCACGTGTGCGACAATTATCCTCAATATCTAACACATATGTATAAAACCTGTAAGTACATTGCTCACATGAAAAAGAAACGTTTAAACAAGACACACTATCGCCTTTGAAGTATTAAGTTCGTGATATATAACAGTGTTATATGTCCATGTATGGACGCCAACAGTGGAATTTACCCTTGATTAATTCTTCGGTAATATCACTTAGAATTCTTCTGTATGACTGATAGGCCTCAATTTATCATCATGATAAACCCTTTGGTGAGAATTGTACGATAAGATGTTTTTGTTCTCGCTTTATTTATTTGTTTTGTAAAGGAATGAAAGCCCAGATTGCAAGTGAACACTTGAGGGATTTGTTGACCTCAGGTAAAGTTTTAAACATTGGATACGGCAAGGTGTGCAATTCGGAATTAATCGCTCTCTAACTTTGCTTAAATTTCAAACTATACAGCGGTAAATATCCCACTTATAATACAGTACCTTAGGATAGTTATACTGTTCACAGGCTCTCTATTTTCCCGAGGCATATCAGAAGGAAAGCATTTAAACAGCGAGAGAAGCGATTGCGAGCTTTGCGCGCAAGTTTGCATTCAGTTCAAGAGTTTTTCGATCGAAGAAAAATATGAGGGCAGTGTGCAGTCTGTCGAATGGCCTGATACTAGTCAATTATTCGATGAAGCTGAGTTTGTAATGAAGAATCCTGTAGATCGAGGAGGATTTTTTCCTCACACTTTTGTCTGCCACCCGACAACGCAACGCACTTTATTCACAACCATCACAAAAAAACCTCCCTGAACCTCAGTAATACACTGCTGTCAAACTACAAAATTCGCCAACATTTGACAAACTGAGCGAGACGAAATAATAGCAATGAAGTTTGAAAAAGAGCATGAATGCAGTTTTAGGTGAACGTTTCGCTCCCTGCTCTCGCCTCACACCCCGCCGGGCGGGGCTAGAGGGTTTCGCACGCAAGAATGCGCGTTTTTGGCTCTTCACGCCTTACGGTTTAAGAGAACTGAAGAAACTGGTTAATTTTCATCCTAGTAAAAACAATGAACTGAGAAATTGTTGCCCTGTTTCTTTTCTGCAGAGAAAGCATTCAGTGTTGATAGTGCTGAGGTTCTTAAGCAGTCAGCCACTATTGTTGTAAGTGGAAAAAAGTCGGGTCAGTATCAATTTTGAAAAGAATCATTTCTTGAACTGATTAAAAGAGCCAGTGAAGCCAAATTTAAGCAGAGCACACAATAAGCGTACACCTCCATCAATGGGTACTTCCTCAGAGCTGCTAATAACAGTTAGTCATCGGACAAAATCCGACTTAACGCTTTCCCCTGTATACTTCCTCCAGTCGGACATTATAACCTAACAGATCGAATTCCATTGATTTTCATTTTGAAAATGAAGATTTGCTTGTTACTTTAAGAAACTAAAAGTCAATGTAGAGTATGACCGGCAACTTTTCTGGTTTTTCTGACTTAACTGACGACTTGGTCGGTTATGTCCTTTGTAAAACGACAAATTATATGCCTGTTTACGCGGGCACTAGGGACTGTTAGATGGGTTACCATAGAATGGAGGCTAGTCAGTCACAGGGTTACCAGGTTTATAATTTTATTCAATAAGCTTCTCCAAGAATTCACCCTTGCTTCCCAATATTCTTAAAATAATAATATTGCTTTCATATCATCTTATCAAAACCATGGCCGATAGAGGCTAACGACCAGATAAAATCATGCTTTCGTTGATTATTTGTTTTCACTGTGTCTTTTTACAGGAAAACCTAAAAACAACTTGGTTATTCCTCTGGCAGTAGGACTAACCATATTATTTCTGTTCCTTGTTACTGTTTTGTTTCTGATCTTTAGACGAACTAAAAGGTGAGTGCCGAGTCTCCTCCTGTTCTACGGTAAATGAGCTAATAAACGCCCGGGGCGTCTATTTAATTTTAGGGATCCTAGCGTTTAACCCTTTAAGCCCCAATGGTGACCAACACCAATTTTCTCCTAACGATATCCATACCTGGTTAAGAGATAAGGTGATGAGAATTAATCAAATGATCACTAAAAAGAAAATGCTTTGATCTTTTATCAAATTCTCTCAACTTATTCTTTAAAGAAATGTATAGAGATCAGTTTGGAGAATTTGTATGTGGATATTGGGGCTTAAAGGGTTAATAGATGGAGACGTTTGAAGGAGAGAGGTGTTCATTCTCATAACTGTAACAAGCTCAATGAAACTAATATGCTTTCGGCAAAAATATCAAGAAAGTTTAACAATAGCGGAATATCCACTCCGTCAGTTGATACGTCTAGGCGGTCTAGTTAACAATTATTCCTCGAGGCCGAATTGGCTCTGAGTCAATAGCGGCCGAATGGGCTATTGACTCAGAGGCCATGAGGGCAAGAGGAATAATTGTTTTAGTAAAATCCAACTAGTTGGTCAAAAATATCGAGACAAAACAACTTTAGCTAGTTAAAGCTAGACTTCAATCCTTTTTTGCCGCCAAAAAGCCGGCGCCTTTCGCTACTAGTGGGCTATAACATATAGTCTGGTAGTAGCTCAACCAATCAGAACGCAGCATTGACAATAGACCACTAGTTGGATTTTACTAAAGATCCATATCCCTCTTTCAAATACCAACACCGATGTCAGAATCCTCGTTCAGGGTTATTGTGTTACCATCGTTAGACTATCCTTACTTTGAACTGGAAAGAATAAACTGAATTAATTAAATGATGTTGCCCCTTTTTGCTTATTCCTATTCTTTTGGAGTAATTCTTAAAGGAAGCGTCTTTTAGACAGGGGGCACATATTAGAGAGAGGCGTCTAACACAATTTTAATAGCCTAGCGGGGGCTTTTGTTAGGTAAGATATAGATATTAGATATGTATTTAGAAGTGCGGGTTTATTAGGTCATTTACGGTATTTTATTACTCAGTTAATTCAAAGGGGACAGACTACAAATTGCTGTTGCTCGAAATATCCTGATGCCGTAACTGTTCGTTAGTAGAATGCCTAAAATGATTGGACGTGTCACCCGCCTAGGTCAAATTTAATTCAGACAAACGAGAAGATTTGTCGCGTTGACTATTATTTCAGCTTCAAAATGATGGTTTTAGGTATTTGACATCATGTCCGACCAAAGCAGTAAATTCAATAGAAAATATAAAAAGTTGTTCGTGTTCCATACATTTTCTTTCCAACTTAGTTCGACGCTTAGTTAAATTCAACCTTAACTTTGATGCACCGTAGTCCGCCCGCGCGACTTAACTAAATTAAGTTCTACGCCAGTAGCAGTTTGGTTCGTCTCATGTTCGAACGTTCGAACCTAAATACGAACCTAATTCGAACGAACCTAAATTCGTTCGAACCTAAATTTGGTTTGATTTGACGTTATCTAGGATACGAAACCATTCATTTAAGTTTGTTGAAGTTGAAGAGTTTGAGCTAGACGAAATGGATGCTGGCAAAGAAGAAGCTAAATTGGAAAAACAATACTCTTCTAGTCCAAGTAGTGATAAATCGGCGGTATGTTGGCATTATTCATATGATAGTAGAATTCATATTTCTGTTGTCCGTTAATATGCCATTTCCACGATGGCATCATTCTACTCTTTTCATATTCAAATATGGTTATCCCAGGGAGGTTTAAATGATAAAAGTCCTAATTTGCACAAGAAAGCAAAACCCTGAAGGATTATGGTCGTTGTAGTAAAATGACGTAAGCGTGCAAATCAGGCCAATTGAACAGTGATTTGGCTGTTGGATGACGCTTGGATGGCGATATCGGGTCTTTTCATGATCTTGACCTACAATCGTCGTCAAAAGTCTTAGGAAGGCTACTTCTTGTTAACTCATTTTTTCTTCTTTCCCCCTCCCCTTCGCCCAATGTTGGACAATCCTTCAGTGTTTATGCGTGTAATTTGCTCTGCCATATCCCAACATAGAATAGGGGGACAGGGTGTATTTAGCACAAAGGAAAACCATTTTTTTTTCACTTTAAAGTGAACCGCTGTTAAATTGTAGAACCTTCCCAACTACTTTTGTCCTGGATTATAGGTCGAAAGTGACCTAGCTATAGGGTGGCGATATCGGGTCTTTTCATGATCCTGACCAAGGACGAAAGTGATTTGAGTTCACTATTGTCAGGGTTCTATCTAGGGTATTTAAGGGGTAGAAGCTTCCCCCCCAAAATGCCCAGCCCCCCCCCCCCAAAAAATATTGTTATCATTACAGTATATAAGTAACTATATCGAAAAAATCATCAAGACGCGACGAGGTTAGTGCACGCACTATAATATTTCTCAAAATTGTGTCTCAAAATGCACCAGATTTCATCCGGGGGTGGGGCGGACCCCTCTAGGACGCTTGTCGCCTTCGGCCACTCGGGACTTCTCCCCCGAATGATAAATCCAAGATAGAACCCTGATTGTACCATTATATCTAATAGAAACTAAAGAAAACGTGAAATACAAGGTCAGAGAAAATTGTTGAAAGTTCGGTGAGAGTGTCAGACGCTGATAAACTGGTAGACTGCCCCACGTGTTGGAGGGCCCATCGACCCAACTCTCCAGACTACAATGCTTGTCCAATTTTGTTTCAGCATTGGCTGAAAGCTGAACATTTTTCATGCTACACCGTCACGACTGACTTATCTCTCTGTACTCTTTCCCTCCTTTCCCGATGCTGAGTCTCGCGTTTTTTGCAAATGGGTAGTACGTAAATCAACATTGTGGAGGGCGTAACGTACCGCCGAAGTGTTCCAACAAACTTGACGACTGTAGTAGCCAGCGGTCGCTGTCATAACCATGCCAGTCTGTGTTGTTAAACAGTGATCAGGGCAGGGCTACAGTTTACCCGTGTTGCTGGAAGTTGGCCCAGACGCTTCACTATAATCTTTCGCTAAAAATTAAATTATTGATGTTTTATTTTCCAGCTGGTGATGGCTAACCCACTCTATGAAAGTGCAGAAAATGAAAAGGAGTAAACGCTAGTTTGCGCCCAATCTCGTCAAATTAGTTTATAATTTTTAAGAGCCACTGAAAGATCTTTGTTGTTTCAGAGGTAAATTAAAGTTAAAGCACGATTGAAAAACACGTGACATCTTCTTACAGATATACTTTGGTTTAAACTTACATTCTTCAGAATTGATGCAATGTACAATGCAAGGGTAAGTTCTGTACATGGCTTTAAAAGGTGCCTCATTTAAAAAAAGGGTACTGTCCCTCCGTTAAAATTCGATAGAAGTGTTTCAAACTTTTTATGACTGAAATCTACTAAGAGTGACAGTCTCGCGTTGGTTATTCCAATAAAATAGAAATAATTTAAATATAGTTAGCTCGAGATGGTCGTTTTCCTTCGCCTTCTTATCTTCCCCCGCGCGCTTGCCATCCTCCCTGACACAGAGGACTGCGGTGTTGAATGCAGTCGAGGTCATATGAAACTGTTGAAAACGTCAACTGAGGTGATGGAATATAGAAGAACAGTTGGCTTGAAAGCTCTGTTGGTTAGAGCGCTTCACCGGTATCGTTGGTTGATATGTCCGAATCCCGTTCGAAAAAGCGCGAATTTTTTTCTTGCTTTAAAGCACAGCCGCTAAAGTTGTGCTTTTGTATAACTGCGGCGAGGATCGTTCTTGTGTTAAAATTTTCTGTTCTTCAGCGAGTTTCGGATTTATTCAAATTACAAACGTATGGAGAAAGGACATATGACTGCTCAAAACGTTGGCACTAGAAACTGCAGCAAACGGTAAAGATGTTCTACCGCTTGGAACGGCAACTTCAATAATTTGGATTTTATCAGAAAGGACAACAGTTAACTGACAAACAAACTTAGTAGGCAATGCTTGAATAATCTCCATTCTAAATCATGAGATTGTACTAAGGCCTATTTTATTTTTGGTTTATACAGTAGAGCTTTATGCGATCCAACTTAGAGACGTCTCTGTTGCCAAAAGACAGGGTCCCGTTCACCCAGACGCTCAGTTAAAATTTCGGGACCTTTTTTTTGTTTTGTTTGTTTTTGTGCCAAATTACCTTACTACAAAGTCAATATAGACATTAGATTTCAGTTATTTTATACGAACTATACACAGGGCCCGGTTGTTGGAAGGCCGATTAGCGCTAACCCTTGGTTAAATTTGGGCTATTTTTTCTTTTGTTCAAAAGCGTTTTTTCGGATAATTTTCTCGATTCTTTTTAGAGCATCAAATTGTAGACAAAAAGAATAAAAACTAAATTTGCCTTTTAAGCTTTCAGATGTGAATTGAAATTTTGCACTAACCCTGGGTTATCTTAACCCTTTTTTGAACAACCCGGCCCCAGAAGGTTACTCTAACTACCTCGATAAAACTACGAAGATCATCAAAAAGTTCTTGAGAACTATTGAAATACTCGCGGCCCTCGATATCCAAGTATTATGGGCCAGATCAGCTCGTCTACAGCAGGACCCGTCTTCGTGTTGGGATTTAGATTGATTCGGTACTGCACCAAAACTGCTTCGACGTCGTTGAAGATGGGCTGCACACAGAATGGCCTGTCATGGCAATCAGATCGAATTTCAACACAGTACAAATTGCTGACTTCAGGGAGATGTGGAGCGAAGTGCAAGGCACTGTTCAACTTCATTTCATCAGTTATCACACCAACAGCCAGTCCACTTGTATTGAAAATTCCAACGCTTGTATAAACTGCGTACCCCAACAAAAGATGGTTGGCACCACACACCACCGCAAAATCGCTTGCTCCAGCTAGTTCGATAGTCTTATCTGTGTTAATGTACGCAGTGTCCCTGTTTTCCCCAAATCCGTAGCACCCTTGAAGGCATTTTGTCATGTTTATAACAAGAGGAACGGGGTTAGCAACATAGTCTGGCTCACCATAATAGGATTTCACTGCCCACAGCAACATCTGAAATGTGTATTTGCCAACAAGATCTGTTTCTGTTTCTCCTACAGTCTTCTTGGTTGGTCGTCGTGGGAGGAAACCGTTTTTGTTTACTGGGAATTTGGGTGTTAAATATCGAACGAGAATATTCATATTTTGCAGTGAGATATAACTGTCGATATCTTCGGCATTTGAGTTGACGTTTTGACTCGAAACGATTGACTCTGGTAAAACAAGTCTGTAGATAGTACGAAAGCTATCACGCACTGTTGAATTACCCTCCAAATCAAAAACAGGCAGGTTCGGAATGCTGTCGATGTTCATTGCTTCAACGGGCACGCCTGACTCAACGAAAGCCCGCACTATATCCTCAGAAACTTGCTTGTTAGCAGTAGTAATATGAACAAAGAGAGATCTAAACTTAGTGGTGCTGTCGGGATCGCTAACTGCGTTGATGCTTAGATGGTTTCGGGTGTCGTACCATGGAATGTCCACAACTACTCGAGATCCTGGTACCGTTGGATCAGGAGGAAAAACTTCAATGTCCTGTCCTGTGGGGCTGCTCATTGCATCTTTGGAAAAATCTTCATCAACTTGAACGTTACTTTCAGCTTTCTCATACAAGTATGTCCGAATTCCAAAATACTCTGTCTCCGGCGGCATGCAACCAAACAGCACCAAAGCGTTATCTTGATGGGGCTGGTAAAACCCGCTTTTTCCACGAACGAATGATTCAGGTGTTTCTAGAGGACACTTCTCATCAGGACAAGGAACGAGGGTCGATCCATATGCTACTGACGGGTTGTTGTAGTTTAAACAGTCTGGATTTATGTTAGGGTCGGTGGAATCGCAAACCCCAAATGCAGCCAGTCCATTTGTTATGTCATACTTTCCATCCAGCCTTCCCATTGCATCCTGAAGGAGCGTCATTCTGAACTGCGGATTACCTAAGTCGCACAGCTGATCAAGATAAGAATAGGCGTTTCGATGGCATGTTGCATGAAGCAGCAAAATCCTAAGAAACAGCTTCATCAGGGGACGCCAGGAAACGTAACGCTTTGCAGCGGTAATGACTTTACTAAAAGAAACTGCTACGTCCACACTGAAGTTCCACACTGTTTAATAAACCTTAAGCTTCTAATGTAATTGTTCGTACATTTTCGTTCGTGTGCCATTCCATGGAAACTTGTCAGTTGTTTAAGAACGCATTACTCAGTTAAACTGACACAAATATCATTAGGCTATCATGATTAAAAAAGGGAGAGAGATGTTTTTATATCTTT